AGTAGATGAGGTGATTCAGGTCAAGACCTCAAGGACTGCTGCTATAACTGAGTTTGGTTTCCCGGACACCTTCTCTTACCATGTGAGTTCACATATCCTTTCTTCCCTGCTTGGGAAGCAACGGCTCTCACCAGAAATCACCAGATGCAGTCTCCCGGCTATGGGAAGACCTGTGGGTCCGAGTAAGTCTGTTTGTCTCTTTTTTCTCTCTCCTTCCTCTCTCTCTTTCTTCCTTCATGATCCCCCTCCTTCTTATCTTCCTTTTCCTTTTGAAACAGGTTCTATTATGTAGTTCTGGCTGACCTAAAACTCACTATATAAGTCAAGTTGGCCCCAAACTCATAGCAATCCTCCTGCCTCAGCCTCTTGAGTGCTGGAATAACAAGTGTGTGCCATCCTCACTACTTTCTTTGTAAAATAAAGACTCTGTTGCTTTGTTATAGTAAGGCAAAACTGGCTATGACAGTCATCCATCTTTTTCCTTAATGGTTCTAAAGAAATTCTTCTTGCCTTGCTCTTTATTTATTTATTTATTTATTTTTGTTTGTTTGTTGGTTGGTTGGTTTTGGCTTTGACTTTTCAAGACAGGGTTTCTCTGTGTAACAGCTCTGGCTGTCCTGGAACTCACTCCATAGACAAGGCTGACCTTGAATTCACAGAGATCCCATTTGCCTCTGTCTCCCAAGTGCTGGAATTAAAGGCTTATGTCACCACTGCCCAGTTCCTCTTAGATCTCTCTATTCCTTGAGATCAGGAATATATAACATGTTTGTTTTGTTTGTTTTTGAGGTGGGGTTTTGCTACATAGGCCAGGTTGACCTGACATTGCAATATAGCCCAAGATGTCCTCAAACTCATGATCATCTGCCCTCTTGATACCAAGTGCTGTGATCACAGGTGTGTCCCACAGTGCCCAGCTAACGGAGTGGGCATAGAGTAGTGTCCCATGGTGCCTAGCTTATAGAGTAGACATAAAGGAGTGTCCCACAGTGCCTGGTTAACAGCTGGATGTAAGAGGAATGTCTCACAGTGCCCAACTTACAGCATGGACTTACAGAAGTGTTCTACAGTGCCCAGCTAACAGAGTGGACATAAAGGAGTGTCCCAGAGTGCCCAACTTACAGAGTGGATTTACAAGAGTGTCCCACAGTGCCCAGCTTCCAGAGTGAATTTACAGGAGTGTCCCACGGTCCCCATCTCACAGAGTGGATTTACGGAGCACCCCACAATGCCAGCTACAGTGTGGACTCAACAAGTCCTTGGGCCGCTGCTGAATGAACTAGTATGCAGAGGTGGAGAAAAATATACTGACTAGGTGAAGGAGGCCTTGATGTGTATTTATTTTTGTTTTATGTTACAGTTTTGAGGTGTACTTTACATTCCAAAACTCTAGTTGTTTCAAGTGTACAATCCAGCGATTTACCAAATTGTGCAAGCATTACCATAATCTAATTTGGGAGTATTTTCACTACCCCAAAAGAAACCTTGTGTTTCTTTGCTTACTCCTGTCCCCAGGCAACCACCAATCTATTTACTGCCTCTATGGATCTGCCTCTGGGGACACTTCATATAAAGGAATCATAGAACTCATGGCCTTTCACATCTGGAAGCTTTTGCGTAGTCGCTTTGAAGTTTGTCCTTGCTGGAGCACGCACCGGTCCTCCATTGTTTTCACAGCTCAGTAACCATTCTGTGGCGTGTTGTGTAGATAGAGTCCCCGAAAGTTGTCTGGCACGAAGCAGCAGGCGTTTGGGTCACTTCCACATTCGGTTCTTAGGCTGCTATGATATCACACAGGTTGTGTGTGGGTGTACATTTCCCTTCCTCCCTTTCCTCCTTCCCCTTTTCTTTTGCACTGGGGATTGAGTCTAGGCCCTTGCCCATGCTGAGTGTTGCAGGCATTGGCTTCCAGAAGCAGTTTCACCTTACAGTTCAGGTCGACCTCAAACTTGTAGTCTTCCTGCTTCTGCCTCCCGAGGGCTGGGATTACAAGTGTGCACCACTAGCCACTCACTACACTAGGTTTGCGAGGTGCTGGGTGGAATCCAGGCCTTCGTGCATTTGAGGCAAGCACCCTATCAACTTTGTATCCTCAGCGACTGAGCTGCTGTCTCAGCTCCCTCGTGTTTTCTCCTTCTGAAGGTAGCATCTTATTTTGTAGCCCAGACTGAGTTCAAACTACAGGCAATTATACCGTCTCAGGCTGTGTCACCAGGCCTGGCTGTTCCACCTCTATTTTGGACATTAGTGCCACTCTCTGCCATTCTAGACTTATTTCTATACTGACTGACACAGCACATTGCCCAGCATTTTCTCTCTTCAGAGTCTTGCCCCCACAGAACCCTTCCTTCCTGTCTCTTTTCTTTCCCTTTATGCCTCCCCTCCCTTCCTCTCCTCTCCTCTTCTATCCCCACCCCTGCCTCTCCTCTCTTCCTGTCCTCTTTGTCTTACTATGTAGCCCAGCCTGGCCTCAGACTCCTAAGTGTTGAGTCTGCTTTACCACACCCAGGTCTAGAGAGCTGGTAAGATACTCCTGGATGTGGACTCTGGGATCTACATTGATTTTTCATGATGCTGGGGATGGAACGCAGCACCTTGCCCATGCTAAGCAACTGGACCACTGAGCTACAACCCCATCCATCCATGGCCTGATAGGCAGAGCATGCTAGAAGAAGCAACACTCCAGGTATAATGAGCCAAACCCCAGTTCAAAGTCTTGTTTTGTGGTTGACCAACCATATGACCAAAGGCAAATCACACCCTCTGAATTCAGTTTCTTCCCTCTTAATGTGTACATCTTCACATCACCCACGAGTGGCAGTGTCTGAGATAGGTCCTTTGGTGCCCAAGAATTCTGGATGCTGTGGAGACTCGGTTTTCTGTAATAGAGACTTCTTCCTTGCAGGATGGCCATAAACTAGTCAGTTCTTCTTACGAAACCAGGCCATATCATCAAATCTGGACAGTTTGCAGAAAGCATGTGCCTGAGCCACGCGTTTAAATTTTCTTTTTTTTTGAAAGTTGGTTAGTGCAGTTGGTAAATTTAACAAGCTTTTGTTGTTATTTTTGTCTTGTGTTTTGCCTTTTTGAGACTAACTCACACCTTGCAGCCCACACACAGGCTTGGACCTCACTATGTCAGTCAAGCTGACTGGAAACTTTTTGGTGGTTCCCCCTGCCTCGGCCTCCTGAATGCTGGGATTACAGGCAGAAGACCTCACGCCCAGTTTAGCAACTGTTTTCTCTGTTGGAGTCTTAATGGCAGCTAGGCTGCAGCCTTTGCTCCCCATAAGTCCTGGGCAAGCAGAAGTCATCAGACCGTGCACTTTAGCATTGGAGCACATGTCATGATGACCAGGCTGGGGATTCCACATAGGGGAGATGGCTTCAGTGCAGACTATGGCTCAAGGGATCCTCTCAAAGCTAGAGTGGACCCAGGTGAGGGGTTTTGAAAACCTACAGGAATGACTCTAGTGTCCTGGCAAGACTGAGAACCACCGAGCTAAAGGGACCTGATTCAAAGCCCAGGCAGCTATGCAAGAATTTAAAGCTTTCTGTGCCTGTTACAGAACTGACTTGGTCATGGATAACCTACTCTAAAATGCTGAGAGGTTTATGCCCAGCTGAATAGGCCACAGGAAACCACGCAAGGTTACTGAGCAAGGAGTGAAAATAGTTGGTAAGAACTATAAGCTGAATAGCCTTATTGGAAAAGCTTGGTGGGAAGTAAAGGCAGGCAGATTTCCGTGAGTTAGCGTGAGATAGCGTGGTCTACATAGTTTCAGACAAGCCAGGGCTACATATTAAGGCCCTGTCTCAAGGCAGGGGAGAAGGAAAGTAAAGATAAAGAAAGGGCTTGGGATCAAAAACGTTAAGCATTTGCAAATATGTAATGTGATGTCTTGGGACTGTGATTCAAGTCTAACATTAAATTAATACACACAGCTCAAATGTAACTTTATACAATATCTTCAGCTATATTTTTTCTCTCTTTCTTTCCTGTCCTGTCCCTTTTCCTCTGTCCCTCTCTTCTCTCTCCTCTCAGGCCACTCTAACCTGGAGTTCTCTTCATCATCTAGATTTTACCTCTCCGGCAGCGGTTACAGATGCGCCATCACCCTTCTCCACTGCCGTTTTCTGTGACCGTGGCCTTCTCCACTGTAACATCCTGTTAGCAGTGACAATGTTTGGATTTTGTACTTTAGATTTTTCGATTAGGGTTGCTCAACTGATTATAACATTGATAGTGAAGGGTCCAGCTATCACAGGTTAGGAAATGTACTTTAATTTTGAAGTTTAGCAAAGAAATAGGCCCCTTCCTTCTGTACTCTTGACTTAAGGTACACTTCTTCAGCACCTGAGGTTAACTAGAGTCTCAAGGGCAGCGTTTTATCCAGATGCTTCAGGGAACGGGGCAAGCCCCTACTGATAACTGGTAGCTGACTGAATTGGTGGATGCTCCTCAGCAGGCCCATCTGGAATTCAGGAGGGCTAGACTATGACACCCCCGCCCGCTAACCATTTCCCACAAAGCTTAAAAGATGTTTGCTCTCCTTTTTAGTTAGCCTTTGCAATGTTTAGCCACTTCGGTCGGATTCCAAGCCTACCAACTCGGACTTCTCATATCTGCATGGCGAGTCGTGCCCCCCTCCCCGCCCCCGCTCTGGTGTTACATGCTGTCACCGAGCTTCCCGGCTTCGGCGCCAGCCTTCAAACCTGTCTTTATCCATTGTTCAGTTTCCTGTGAGTCAAGTTCAACCAGGCTTCATGCACTGCAATGATGGTCACAAACAGATTCCCTAGCAGACACCTGGGAGGCAGCGCCGCCTGTCACCCACCACAGATCCAAACCGGAGGAATCGAGGGGCGTTCCCATTCCAGCGGCTCAGGGTGGCGGGTCGCCGGGAACCCCTCTGCTGGGGAGTGCCCGGCCCTCCGCGGGCGTGGCCGGTCGGGCCCGGCCCCTTGCCCGCCCTGGTCGCCTCGAGATAGTCTCCGCCCGGCCACCGGCCGTCAGCGCGCGCGCTCGCTCAGTGTCTTCCCGGGCTCCGCTGACCTCAGACGAGCCCCGCCGAGGGGGATGCTCTGAGCACCACCTCCCGGGGCAGTTGCGCCTCTCAGTGCACTCGGACGTCCCCGGCCAAAGCAGCCAGGGGAAGTTGTCTTGTGAGCCCGCGGCCCCTGGCTCTCCTCCCCCTGAGCCCCGCCCCCCGCCCGGCGCGGGGACCGCAGAGCCGCCCGGACCGGGGGCGTCGCCGCTAGCGCTCCCGAGCCCGCGGAGCCCACGGAGCCAGTGCAGACGGCGAGTGTCCGTTTCCCTGCAAGCAGCTCTTGTAGCCCGGAGGCCCAGGGACCCCTGCGCTCCCCAGCCACGGCGCGCGCCCAGAGCGCGGGAGCCCGTAGCACCGGGCGCCTGGGACCCCGCGCAGCCTCTGGCCAGCCCGCGGGGCTAGGCAGGGATGCGGGCTGCACTGTGAGCCCGGGCGCCAGGGCCATGGCCGGCGCCCGCTGCCGGACCCTGTACCCCTTCTCCGGGGAGCGGCACAGCCAGGGACTACGCTTTGCTGCGGGCGAGTTGCTCACTCTGCTCCAGGTCCCGGACGGAGGCTGGTGGGAAGGCGAGAAGGAGGACGGGCTCCGTGGCTGGTTCCCCGCCAGCTACGTGCAGCTGCTGGAGGTAAGAGGCTTGGGTTGGGGTCGAGACCTGTTATCCACCCAACCTCGGTGCTCTGGGGAATGAAGGGTGCGGGGGTGCCCTGGGGCGTGGGCAGTGTTCCCCCTCGTACCCAGCCTCCCAAGCACGTCGTGGCCGCTCGGGGGAAGGGAGAACTTGTTGCCTGCGCGAGTTCTGAAGCAAGCGGGCGCGCTGCCGCGGATGACACGGGCCGCCAAGGGGCCGCCGAGCTCGGTGGTCTTGGCAAGGCGAACGGATGGATGATTGGGGCTCGGAAAGGTGGCCCCACAGCCCCGCCTTTCCCGCGAACCAGTGGTCAGTCATTCTTTACGGGAGGCGGACTGCCCGGCTTCCCCCGGGCCGCCCACTTACTGGTCAGCTGAGGTGCACCAGTTAGCAGTGAGTGAGTCTGAGCAGAGCAGCAAGCTTGTCCGAGGATACAGCTAGGACCTCAGGCAGCGCCCCCTCCTTTAGGCTCAGTACCCTAAAGTGACTTGTTCCTGGTGATCTGGCTTGGCCCCAAGGCTACATAGGACAGCTGAGCCAAGTCAGCTGGCTGCTTATTGTCTGGGTGACAATTGCAAGGCCTCTCTGGCCTCTAATCACTGAGCTCATGGTCACAGTCTGAGTGAGAGCCTAAGTTTCTAAAGTCCTTTGTGTGTGAGAGAGAGAAGGGGTATTTTTCAGTCCTTACAGAGAAGATGCTGACCCCGGGGTCATCATAAAGACTAAACTAACCCTTGCCCTCAGTCATGTAGGTAATCTTAGGTTTTGGTAGGAACTAGCCTAAATAAGGAACCAAATTTATCTTCTCCTGGGACCTACTTAAGAACAAAGTAGCAAATTTTGAATGAAAAATGTTACATGTGACTGAGGCCAGGGTGAGGTGGGGAGATAGGGGTTAGATGGTTGTAGACTGGGCAGACCTGTCAAGTGTCCTGTGGCAGCCTTCTGGAAGCTCGTGATAGTTCTCTCAGGTCCAGGAAACAGACTCGCTCTAAACGGACCATAGTATTCCTGGGCGAAAGGCTGGAATGAGCTTCGTGGGGTCTTAACAGAGGTGTCTCTGGGAACTTAGGGTGTGTTCCCAGCACCTGTTTCTGCAGAGCCTCAGATTCGACTTTCTGCATTTCCCAGGTCCATCTCTAAGGGCATAATAATAATAATAACAATAATAAGCGTCATCTGACAGGGAAACCTTGAGCCTCCTGACAAAAAGCTTTCTGAAAGACGTTTGAGTTCTCTTGGTGGCCACATTTCCCAGGGAAATACTGATGTTGAGATTCTGTCTGGTGAGGAGTGTTCCTGGCTGGATTCAGCCAGCTCTTTTGGGTGGGGATTTGTAAGAACAGAGTGCCCCTGCTTTTTCCTGGGCGGGGTGGGGGTGGGGAGCATGAACAGGCCCAGGAGACAAAGCCGAATTATCACTGGGATGGCCTGGGTGTGCCCGTGGCACCCCTTTGCACTTAGAGAGCTGGGAAGTCTCTGGTCCTTAGGGACCTTTCAGACCCCTCCCATCTATTAATAGCAACTCGGTGCCACCAGGAACACCTACACAAGGCATGCGCATCATCACCAGTTTCCTGACCCTTCTGTGAAGGTGGGGTACTGTCCTCCACGTAGGAAGCCCTGTTTTGAGCCACAGTCTAGCTCCGTAGCTCAGGCTAGCTTCAGATTTTCAGTCTTCTCGCCTCTGCTTCTGAGTGCTGGGGTTCCAGGCTTGTGCCACAATACCTGGCACTGTCCTCATTGTACAGACAGGAGGAGGCATGGCAGCAGGAGAAAGGCAAGTGTGTCCTCCAAGGGGTCAGATCTGCACACTAGACTAACAACTTGGGTAACTGACTCAATTCCTTGAGTATTTTAAAACTCAAAGGTCAGTAAAAGAGTGGAGGATGTGAAGAAGGGTGGGCCATGCCCCTGGGGTTGATATGTCTGTTGGTGACAATATCCTTAATAAGACCTGCAATCCTGGGGCCAAAAGGAAGATAGCTACAACCTGAACACACACACACACACACACACACACACACACACACACACACACTGGAGCACCCCTGCTACCAACCCTGAAGTTTAAATTCATCTCTAAGCAGCTGAGGTGGAGGCAAGGGTGGACCTGGCCCCACTGTCCACATACTGACTAGAATTCTCAGCACCAGCATGTAGGTTTGTGCGTGGAGGTTCGTGGATCCAGTTCTTGGTGGCTGGCACCCTCCTATCAGAATAAACTGCATCACTAGGCAGAGATCTGGGAAAGGAGGTATGCCCTGGAGTCTCCTGGGACGGGCTGAATACTCACAGGCAGACTAGGGTAAGTTGGGGAGCAGCCAGTGGGTGCAGTGTGAAATGTATGGATCCTGAGACTGCAGAAGCCCAGCAGCAGCAAGTAGACAGTGAACCCATAGGCTCTGAAGAGGGTCCTGCTGTAGGGGAAGAAATCGAAACAAAATGGGCCCCATAAACCTCCTGGGGAAGGACGGGGTGATGGGCACCCTGCTGAAGAATGGGGGTTTTCTGGGGGCTGGAGAAGGTGGCTCAGAGGTTAAGAGCACTAGCTGCTCTTCCAGAGGTCCTGAGTTCAATTCTCAGCAACCACACGGTGGTTCACAACCATCTATAATGAGATCTGGTGCCTCTTCTGGTGTATATATGTTAACGGAACATTGTATGCATAATAAATAAATGGATCTTAAAAAAAAAAAAGAATGGGGGTTTTCCTCCCAGTGTCCCTTTTGCCCTCTGGTGGAAAGAGGGACAACAGGAAGTATCTTAGCGGAGGGTGTGAGACACTGACAAGAATGTGCACAGTACACTCTCCCCAGGAATCTCTTCCTGGTTCAGACAAAGAAAGGGAAGCCAGAGGTCCGCCTTTGCAGGAAACACACACTGTGGAGGGGGCATTGCAAGCTGACCCCCAAAGACCTGCTAGCTCTGCCTTGGGGATGGCTGACTCAGATGGAAGCAGGGTTCGAAGACAAGGTCATTGGGGCAGTCTCTTTGGTCAAGACTCCTAAGAACGGGGAAAAAAGATAAAGTGAATATCTGGCTTAGGAAGATGGACTCTAGACGACCTAGGCCCACACAGAGAAACATGGGACCTGGGGACGCTGGCCACAGGGGTCCTGGTTACTTAAGGGGTTACCCTTCACAGGGGACCTATTCTCTCCAGAGGTATGAGAGCCATGCTGGTCAGCTTCCTATTGCTGTGGCAAGGCACCTGGGATCAAATTCACAAGGAAGAAGGGTGTATATTGAACCTGGGTTTGGGGTTTTCAGTTTATGGCCAATTCTTAGTCCATTAAATTCTGAGTATGTGATAAAGAGAAGCATCTCATACTGGGCGGGAAGGAGGGATAGTGTCCCAGCTCCCTGCTACCCCATCCTCCAACTAGGACCTACCTCCCAAAGGTTCCACCACTTTCTAGGAATGCCACAGGTTGATTGCTGAATCTTTAGTATATGAGACTTTGGGAAACCTTTAAGAGCCCAACCATAACCAGGCTTAACAGGCGACACCCAAAGCTGGCTGTGGTGTATAAAGGCCCTGAGATGACACCGGCTGGAAAAGCCTTTTTTGGTAGTTCCTTCAGCCACGAAGAAAGGGAGCAGCGGAGAACTCTACTGATATTGTTTGAGAGACACATGAGAAGAGTGAGCAGACAGAAGAGATGAGGCCAGGCTGGAGGCTGTGGGGTACTGGCCAGCTCCAAGTCAGGTCCTGGATCACTTCCATAGTCTTGGGGACCGGACATGAAGGGCAATTTTTTACCAGTCCTCAAGGATACAGACAAAACTCCTAGGGAGATAGATAGAGGTGGGCTCTCTATCCCAGGGAAGAGTTGGAGAGTCAGGCATGGTACCAGAGTTGGTACGAAGGCCGGTCTGGCCCAATCTGGAAGGCCTAACTGGACTCAGGAATTCCTGTGGGGAAAATCAGAGACCTAAAGGGTGGTATAATACTTCAGTAGAAGCACCCAGAGTTTTGGGGAAGAGGTTTTAGAAGGAATACAGGCATGCCAGAGCTTTCCTTCAGGTGGTGCCAAGGTCCATGCCAGCATGTCTGTCTAGTCCTGACAGGTACTGCTTGTGCTGTTTCCCCAGAATGTGTTGAAGACTTACCACTGAAGCACAACCCTATCAGGTGGTATTTAGGTTATGAGGATTCCACCATCACAGAGAGATTGACACCAGTTATAAAGAGGCTTGGCGATGTATAGTTTGAGAGCTCACCCTTTTGCTTTCTGCCTTCTCCCATGGGATGATGTTGTAAGAACTCAACAGAGGCTGACACCTCCATGTTAGACTCCTCGGCCTCCAGAACCACGAGAAATAAATTCACTTCATAAATTATCCAGCTTGTGTATTCTGTCATAGCCATTCAAAGTGGAGTAAGCCACACACAGACTGTGGCAGTGCTTGTCAGTGGGATGGGGCGGTGCAAAGGGAGATTCTTGAACTCCGCGTCCTCTCCTTTTCCTCTTCCCTCAGTCTGGGCTCATGTGATTGTGTGGCAGGAGGTGATGGGGTAGCTGTGGGAGTTGGCGGGCTGTGCTGTGGACAATGAAGAGGCGGGTTTTCTATTGCTAGGTAACAAGGCACCCCGGGAATCCATCCTGTGTGACTCAGAGTGGACAGAGCTCAGCTGAGCGGTTCTTCTGTTGGTTCACCTTGGCAAACTCCTTTGCCAAGAGAGTTGAAGTCAAGTGGCAGCTGAGGATTGAGTCCAGGAGACTCCATTGGGTTGAACTCGTAGAAGGACCATATTCACTCACCTGGTTGTTCCGTCTGGCCTCTTTCCACATGGTGTCTCCTCCTTCAGAGCATTGTCACATGGCTTTTCTTCTGCAGGGTAGTTAGAGTTCTTTTGTAGTCAGTGGCCAGCCTCCAAGGAGACAAAGGGATGACTTGCTGGACTTTCTTAAGGCTTTGACTCAGGCTGAGCACATCATTCTGCCACATGCTGTTGGCAACGTGAGTCACAGGAATAGCGTAGAAGTAGC